CTATCCTAAAAATGTAGAAGTAAATTGCTTGCAGACCCATCGATATGAGCCATATTGTCGGTACGATGATTTTACAGAGTTTAGCCGGCTTCCTAAACTGTTTACGCAGAGGGAACACGATTCCTCTATACCTGTCGATAGCTATAGCTAAAAGACTCAGAATTGAGACGCCAATTGTGATGTCTTGAAAAAAGTGAGCACTTTTACAGAGAACTGAACCCAACAGCCCGTTAATTAACCATCTGCGAGGTCCAAGCAATATTTCTGTTATCTGCCTCGGTACAGCCAAGACTGTTATTAGAATATCTGAAACTGCCATATTGGCGATGAGATAATTGGTAATGGTTTTCATTCCCTTGCTCCTCGTAATGATAGCAATGAGCAAAGAGTTCCCAAGGACTGAAAACAGCAGCAGGACACAGTAACAGAATATTTTAACTTTTTTGCTTACACTGGTCTCGCTTTGGAACGGTTTGCAGCTGTATTCGTCTAGAATTGTCGTGCTGTTCAAACTCCAAAACGAGCCACTCGTTGTTGGTGACTGGTTGGTCAGCTGTGTTGTAGTATCCATGAGTCGTTGAATTAAAACCGAACAGTATTATGAAAACGCAGCAGGACGTAACGCACAACTCGGTGCAGTTCCAATAGAATAAGCTCTTTGCTGAAAACGGAAATATTACCTCACCAATGTTCAGTGTTTTGGCAGGGTCCCAAATATTCGACAAAATGGTGAGTGAAACTTCAGTGCTTCAAGCTGAACTATAGATGACGTCTAACCCTGACTCCTGTTTCCTCTACTGATTATGACTTGCGTCAAAACATTGGCAAATTGTCCAGCCTTATGTTCTTTTTTTTTTTTTTGTTATTTACGTTTGTTCAGTTGTTTCAATCATCGGAGCCAAGAACACAAACACACAAAATAGCTGACAAACCGCGGAACCTAGAGATAAATATTACTTTTAGAATTGCCGCGAATTTTTAATTTAAAATTTAAAAATTTAACTCAGAATTTTTAAATTTAATTCAGAATTTTTAAATTTAATTCAAACTTAAAAATATCTTCAGGAAAAACCTCTTCAGGTAAACAATAATGGGACATCGTAGCGTGACACTAATAAGCAATATTCATCTTAAAAGACGAATTAAAATTGTGAGCGGAAGAGTTACGGCGGGCTAATAACGTGTTTCTTTTCGTTTGAAGAATGCATTGATTATTTTATCCCTAAGGTATAATTCAGTTTTGACTGAAATTTTTTGTCAAACTAAGGCATCTTTAATATTGATTGTTTACCATTTACCCAAAAATTCCGGAAATTTCGGTCAGAATGTGAATGGAAAGACAATTTTGGCTCGACCAACCGGAAAATTATTAAAATAATTGGAACATAATGAAAGGTACGGAGTCCAAACTTTCGAAGCGAAATATCCCTTCACCACCATCTTGGAGGTCGAACTCGTCCTAGTCTAATTCGGTAAATTTGGGGTGGGGGAGGTGGGGGGGGGGTGAGTTGAATAAATGGTAAATGGCCAGTCCGAACGGAACTTACCCTCAGGCATTTTTGCTTCCCATTTGCACAAACATTGACGAATTGGTTTCTCTGTGTAAATGGTAAACAGCCATTGTTTGCCTCACGACTAACAGAATAGTTTGGACGTTCAGTCCCGTCAACGACTTACCGATAATAAGCTGTAGTAAATTGTTCCGGTAACAACGACATATTTATACATCACCTAGCTATACTACTCTGACAAGTTGTTCTGATTAAGAATTTACTTTAGCTATTTTTCAGAACGTTGTCAACGCAATAGTCGACATATTTTCCTGGACGATTCAGTGAATATTCAAATTAATGACCGCAAGATTTACATATTTCAGTTCTTCAGTTGAAAAAAAAAAAAAATAAAAAAAAATAGCAAAATAACTGTTAGTTGGTTTGGACAAATTTGTTTCGCTTAACAAACTAAAAGTATTGAATGTAAAGAACGTAAATTGAAGCTTTTAAAAATCGACGTGGAGTCATAAAAATCCCATTTTCCCTAGGTCTTCTTTTTCACAGTTCAAAAAATGTCTCCGTCACATATTTACTACATGTTCCTGAAAAAGCGCAGTCCTTAATTAATTTTTTGGAAGAACAAAGACATCTTTGGGTTGTGATGTATTTCTGACGGGATATCTTGAAAATGTCGATCAGGTCCAAGCAACTAATATCATCGTACAAATATCGTGGAGATGTTGTGGAAACACATGTTTTCTTTGAGATGACGTGTGATTCATCTCTTGCCACACTACAGGATATGGAATCTACTGAGAACGGAAAACAGAAAAACAAACGCCGTGTACGGCTCATATTAACTGCTCGATAAGCTGTGCGATTAAGAGAAAGAGGTGATATTTTTTCATGGAACAGATTTTTGTAACATCTAAGAAAGCTAGAAATCGGCTGATTAAATAAGCATAGCAGGTGCTCTACATTGGTCACTAAAACGACAACCGGGCGACAGAGTACATATCTTTCTCTCCCAAGAGTGATACGTTTTATACCAGAAACATTGATCACAACTTTGTCGCGGGGAAGCGCTGGTAAGTAACATTACAGCAGCGAACGTTTAAAAACCGGAGCGCAAGTTTACACATGGAAATACAGACAGGCGACCATGATGGTTTTTTTCAAGCGCTATCGAGTAACACAATGATCTGAAATTCGCCTGAAACAGTTTACAGGGGTATTCTCGTGATGCGTGATTACCTGATGATTTTATTGTTGTGAAACGTGAAATTAAGAAATTATTCTTAGTGATCCGTAACTTGAAGGTTTTGCGTGACCCGTGAAGAACTTGAATTATTAACCGAAATTCTTGATTTCACCACTCTATTCTTCGTGATTTTGAGGCGAGAGTCCTCCGGAAGATTTGTTAAGACTGAACTCATCAAACTTGACCTCTGTACAATTATCGTAAGGTCTTGTAAAACATCGGCAACTACCAAGCAACAGAGGCTGTTACTACACGAAGTGGACGAATGGTTAGAGTCGTCTGTATCGAGACGGTGATTTAGGTATGCGATTTGCAATATGGAATATGGACTCACGATTTTGCTTTTCTTCGAACACTTTTTTTTAAGAGCAGGTTATAAAAAAGAGTACCTCACATGCTTATTTTCGTGGTTCGGGAAAAAGAAATTTTGATATCCGTGGCCTGTGATTCGCTATTTTCCGTTCGTGAACCGTGCAAGAGAGCGCCTCTGTACGACCGTTTTTACATGCGTGCGATTACAGTCATAATAGCGATTGAATGTAGCTAACAAAAGTCAAACATTGGTCATAGTCGTACTTTTTTTGTGTTCTGAACATCGCTTTGATCTTACAAGACAATGTTTTTTTAGTCATTCAGAGTCATTCTCATAGAGCGGCGAGAATTTTCGTGCAGAACTGGAAGGCTTTGCGCTTTTGACATCACACAATCTTAAAAAACAGAAGTCTCCTCAACTCTGTGTAAATAGGGAAAAGCATCCCCCTATATTAGGTTCAGGGTTTTCTCTTTGTTTGATAGAATTATAATATCATTGATCTTGGTGGGAAAGCTAGCCTGTGTTTCAGGCGTAACGGGGAAGGGAGAGGCAAAACCACGACCCCTTCTATTCCCCCTCTAATCCTCCCCCCCCCCCCTCTCCCCCTTTCCCCCATGTAACCCCGACAACGACAGCTAGCTAAAGTTACTGCTTAAAGCTGGTTAAAGTGAAAGTTAATGTTTAATAAGCATATTTTCGGCTTCAAACTTCTCATGCTTTTGAGATGGCAGGACGGAATAACTCTATAAATACTAACCCAGCTGCTATCCCAAAAGTGGGAACTGTTTTCAAAGTGCCTAGATCTTTTTGAAAGACAAGTCATGGAACTTCTGTTTCGCCTGCGATTCACATTAAAAACAGTGGCCGCGGCAGATTATCATGCTCGGATTTTCAGTGGAACAATGCTTTTAGCTTCGTTTTGTGATCATTAATTATAAATCAACGTTGTTAAAGCCGTAACTGACCGTTTTCAAAGCCAATTTGTGAAATTCTAATTAAAGTTTCAACTGTTTGCAATTACTGAAAAAAAACTTTAAATATTTTGTGGTCTAAAATATACAAGATATCTACAATATGTGGAAATGACACTTTTATTAAAGAATTATGTCAAACAGCTCGCTTGATATCCAAACAAATCCTTGGAAAAAAATAACGGATAAAATTAAAAATGGCACGTTTTGTTCCATTCTGATATTACCAGAGTAGAAACAAAAGCATGAAAATAAATCCCGCATGAGTCCAGTCTGCAGATTCAAACACAGATTATGGGATGTGGCCTCCATGTAAATTAGTACGGGTAAGAAAGGGAACGTAATCAAGTAAATATTCTTAGCATTCTGACAATGGGATTTATTTTCGGGAAAGAATCGTAAGAAATGAAATAATATCAAGACATTGAGTGACTCGAAAGCAAGTACGCAATTATTTTAATTTTACTGATCGAGAAAGCTGAATATGAAATTCTGATGAATACAATCATCTAGTCAACTGCTTTTTAAATAGCTTTTTTAACCTTTGAGGGAGAGGCGTTTAATTTCAACTTGCTTTTGTGGACTACATCTAAAATTTATCTATTAGTGCCTAAAGCAAGTCAACAAACAAGAATTCAATATAAATATATTTACAAAAATGGCAAATATTTTGGCAGGTCTGTACACAACGTCAATACAACTACAAGCAGTATTTAATCTACAATTTTTTTAAAATTTCTTCCCAGGCGGATGCACAATCTCAGTGGTTAGATGTTCGCGGCTCGGGAAGTCTTCCTGTTTTGTCAGAGCAACTTTACATTCAGATTCATATTTAGCGGTTTTGCATTACCTTGAAGAGAACGGTCCTTATAGGAGTTTCGAGAATATAACAAGAAAAAGTGATTGGAAAAACAATCGTAAAACGTCGGCGGAGACAAGAATGGAAAACAACACCACCGCACCACCCCCTCCTAGACAACCTCCTTTACCCCCAGAGTTGGTATCTCTCGTCCAGACGGTAGATATGACTTATTTGATATCGGGGATTTATCTCTCGCTTATTGCTATTATGACGATATTTGGCAATGGTCTGCTGCTTCTGGCGATAATCACAGACCCGTTCAAGTCGTTCCGGACACCCACCACGCTGTTTGTCGTTGGTCTAGCCGTGGCAGACTTCCTCACCGGCGCTGTTGTGGATCCATTGACTGCATTCCTCAATATTGCTACTTACTTGCAGCTCCACCGTGATCCGGGCATGACAAAGGTGTTTGACAATTGCGTGAAGGTTAACATTTACGTATCGTTTATCACGATGAACGCGTCCTTTTTGATGCTACTCGCGCTAACGTTTTGTCAGTATCTGGCGATTTCGTTTCCACACAAACACCGTGCTTTTGTTACTCGTCTGAGTGCCATGGTCACGCTGGTTGTGGTAACAATATATTCTGTTCTATTCTCGCTTCTCCCTGAATTCAGAGTCCCTCGAAGATTGAAACTGGAAATCGACACGCATTTGAACACGAATGCGGTGGCGATTATTCTGATTCTAACCTATCTGCTTCTCTACCTGGCTTATCGAGTGCATCTCAAACGGGTCAGCGGATTGGACCAAAACGATGCTGCGCGAAATCGAAGAAGAGAACAGGAACGCGAATTTACTGCAGTCAATCTGCTGTTAGTCACGTTTTTTCTCATCTTTACTCTACCCTCAATGATCTTTTGGAATCTTCGACTGTATAAGTTTTACGACATTCAATCACTATCCTATGACCAAAGACTCCGACTTGACCTTGCGAGCACGCTTATTTTTGATGTTCTTGTCATGAAGTTCGCCCTGGACCCTTGCATTTACGCCTGGAGATTGTCCAAATACCGCCAGGCAATCAAGAAGATCCTTAAGTGCGGTCGGGATCCTCGCGTTGACGTGAGCAACTCGACGGATGCATCGTCACGAGTTATTTCAACATACGCTGAAGGCGGAGAAGGAATGGGTCGAGGACGTGCTCGGACCAGCTCTACCCTGGTGCCCCTTAATTCACCCCAGCAACAATCCTCGGCTCTTGAAGGCTAATTGTCGGAAATATATCTGCCCGATTCCCACGATCGGAGAACTTCGGTAGAAAAACAAGAAACCAATAATGTAAGACAAACTATATTAAAGTGACAACAACAGCGGCAGCTATCTGATTAAATAGGAGCAAAAGGAACCGAAAAGCTAGTGTAATATACCTCATGATTAGCTTACATTACAACATGTACGTTTTTCTCCCGTTGGCAGCGGCAGCGGCTTCAACCGCGGAAAGACTGGTAAAGACTCTTTGTTGCAACATCTTCTCAAGGCGATGACGTTTTGATTAAATAATTTACGAAAATCGCTAGATAAGTTCTTAGCTATTAGCTGATACAAAAACAAATTGCTAACATAATGTGGCCTTATAATGTGGCCTTAATCAATTGCCACTGACAAAAAAATACCGCAATACTGACGTGCGTACAAGGTACTTTGAACCCATTTATAATATCTGCCAACGAAGTCAAGGAAGATCATTCCAAACGTAGCAAGGTAGTTTAATTAAATTTGCATCTAAAACGCTCATTTACTGATCAATTCAAGTAAATTTCGCCACCAATTCGCCAATTTACAAAATTTTAACAAAATGGTCACGTGGCATGTTACATCATCAGAAAGATTTAACTTAATAAATAAGGCGAGAGAGAACACCGAGTTTTATAACCAGGGACAATTTCGGCTTGGTTAAATGAATACAGAAAATATTTAACTCTTATTAACCGAGCTGGAGGTCTGTATGGGAGAATCTTGACCGAGGTCGTGAGTACCGACCGAACGCAGTGAGGTCTGTACACACGACCGA